AGGTTTGCACTGACTTTACTGGGAATTTTACCTGGTCCATCTCAACCCTGTCCACCTCCAGGCTCTGCCTTAATCCCCCCAGACCTAATCAAGGCTAATGAGTGAGGACCTGCAGGACCCCCAGGCTCCAGCCATGGCCCCTCAGGGGTCACAGCTCTCCAGTGCTCCCTCCCACCAGGGCACAGGGCTGGGGGGCACCTTCCCAGTGCCCCAGGATCTCCAGGTGCAGCCAGAGGTGCCCCTCTGTCATCCCCCAAAATCGCCTTAGCCTGAACCAGCAGCGCTGGGGAACTGGCTGGTTTTTATTTACCACATTAAAAAGACAGTCAGAGTGACTGTACATTTTGAGATGCCAGTGCCATAAATGATGGCATGTCTGTATTTCCCCAGGATTCTGTTACCCCGGGAGATAATGGTTCATTTTTAGGCTGTTAGAGCAGAGATCACAAGGGTCCGCCCTCGGCAGCCACGGCTGGTAACTGCCTCTCACTCTCTGAGAGCACAGGCAATTTTTCCATAATAAAAACTGGATTAGCATGTATCAAGAAGAGGTTCCACCAGCTGTCACTTTGAAACCAGGCTACTCTATCCAGTGGGGGAGATGATAATGGGGAAACCCATAAATGACAAGCAGTTTCCCTGTATTTATCTAATAAGTGGCTAATACAGACGAGCATCTTCTCTAATAAAACAGGAGAACAGGGGGAAGAAACAGGCTGAGGCTCTACTTGAATTAAACCCAAAGTGAGCAACAGTGGCACAGGAAAACATTGCACAGAAATTGGGGTTTTTTCACCTGTTGCTGCTTTTTGAAATTATATTTTTAATGCACTCTGCCCACGAGTTAAGAATGATTCTTAATCATTGGTTCTGATTTAAAGTTTTCCAATATTCAGCTAATTTTGACTTATTATAGCCAGAGTCTCTCTCTCTCTCTCTGTATGTTTATAAGCTAAAGAGAAAACCAGGTGTCTGTAAATGAGTAGGTGCTGCAGGTGTGTTTAAAATAGGAGCATTTTTTTGGGGCTACACAGATCAGCAGTGACAGCAACAGCTTCAAGGAAGTACAAGAATCCTTAATCTGCTGAATAACAGCCAACTATTTGCTAACTTATTAGGGGTGACACAGCATTGGAGTTACAATTAAAGTGTATCTGTGGAAATTAGGAAGTGGAGTGAGTGGGGCAGCCACAGCTTCTCTGCCCAACCTGGGCCAGGGCCTCCACACTATCCCAGCCAGCAATTCCTTCCCAATCTCCCATCTCTCCCTGCCCTCTGGCAGTGGGAAGCCATGCCCTGTGTCCTGTCCCTCCATGCCTTGTCCCCAGTCCCTCTCCAGCTCTCCTGGAGCCCCTTTAGGCCCTGCAAGGGGCTCTCAGGTCTCCCTGGAGCCTTCTCTTGTCCAGGGGAACCCCCCCAGCTCTCCCAGCCTGTGTCCATAGCGTGCAGAGCAGAGTTTGGAGAGGATTTGGAAAGCAGAGGAGTTTTCCATCTGCATTTCCCGGCTCTTACAGAGGGAGGAGGTGGGAGGGGAGCCCGTGGTGGCCACGGGCACAGAGCAGCTTTGAGCAGCTTTGAGCAGCTTCGAGCAGCCAGGGGGGCAGGAGAGAAAACAGCCCTTGTGGTCCCGGGGTCAGAGGGGACATTCCACTGCCAACATGCGACATATTTTCGTGGGCAGAATGAATCCCCGGGGGGAGAGCGAGCCCAGGGAGGTGTGGAGGAGGACCGAGGTGGGAATGGGGGGAAGGATTGGCCGGTGAGTCACAGGGAATGCCCCACATGGGCTCACTCCCAGCTGGCTCCCGGTGCTCCCTGCCCGGCTCTGGGAAGCGCCGTCTCTCCGGGTTTCCCTTTGTCTGGCGGGGCAGGTGGGAAGGAGCAGGGTGTGATGAAGTGGGGCAGCTAAAAGGGGGCTGTTTACTGCATTTTTCGGTGATATTGTTTTGCTTATTGTTCAGGAGGAGTTTTGGGGTGGTTTGTTTCAAATCACAGATGAGTCAGAAAGTGGGAAATTTTAGCGAGAAACTGCAGGCACCAAAATTCTTGATATTTCCAAGACATCTCCCATGCAAAGGCTGCAAAACCCCTCCCTCCCCACGACTGATAAACATCACCTATTTTATAAATACTGATGCACCTGAAGATTAAGAGGCTTCCCAAGCCTTTGGCAGTGACAAAACTGACAGCGTGCCACAGACATCAAGTGCTTCTCTACACAAATGTGATAACATTTACTTCCCAAACAAATTAAATCTGATATTTAAAAAATATACACAACAAACCCACAACTTTCCCTGCCCTCAATTTCACTTTTCCCTACGAATACACTTCAAGAAAATAACACTTGGTGTGTATTTAACAGCACTGGAAATCATGAAGCAAATCCCCCTGCACATGTTCCTGACTCAAAGACCCCCATTCAACAGCTCCGTTCTGTCTAAAATTCATATAATTGTGTTTCCTTGTGAAAGTACGGAGAAGGAGGAAGAAGAGAAAAGCAATTATGAAATTAAATAGTTACACAGTGTGGCAGTGCTAAAATCAACATTTTTACCAGATTTGGGTGCCCACTAACATGTTTGAAAACACCTTGTGAACTGGCACAACAAGTCTTTGCTGTCCTTATTCTGTTGCATATTTAAGGCAAGATCACAACCACCTCTTCCCTACTTGCTCAAATACAGGGACCAAAGTGTTCCTTCCAAAAATCAATTTTAGCTGAGCTATTTTGTTAGTAAATGTCATATTCCCAGTGCAGAACCAACTGCATCAAGCCACGGGTGATTTGCATGAGCAGGAACCAACCCACGGGGAATGTGTGTGTTTGGAGGGGGGTGAAGGAGGCTCACGAGCCCAGTTTTCCTGGAAACTTTTGGCAAAGCAAAGCCCCAGCGTTCCCCCAGCCAGCCATGTCTGTGCTGCTGGAGGAGGACGTGGTGGGCAGCCGTGCTCAGGCTCCCAGACAGCGTTTGACAGAGTTCCACATCACAGATCAAGGTCTTTGCACAGAGATTGGGGTCTGAGGGAAGAAAGGAAGTGGAATGGACATAAATGTAACATAAAATGGATTGACATCGGCTAAAGGGCAGATGGGAGAGGGAGGGAGGCACAGCCATAAATAAAAACTTTTCTTTAGGGGAGAAGGAGCTGGAAAGATGTTATTGGGTGGGCACGAGGAGCCTCACAGTGTGTCATGGGCAGAGAAAGACAGGAAAAGGAAATATAAACTGATGGTAACTCCGTGGTGACTCACAGTTGTTAAATCGTTGGGAGGCTGGGGGAAGGTCAGTTGGATTTTCCTTTCTGCAAATTAACTAAAGGGGAAATATTCATCAATACAGTGTCACACACACAGAAATGACGGAGCTGCTCACGGAACAGAGTTGGTTCTGTTGGTTTGAGTTCTGACACAAAACAAGAGGTGGAACGTACCTGGTGCAGAAGAACATTGGCCTGGGAGCCTGAGCAGGTCTGGGAGCTTTGGAGACAGGAGTTCTCAGGACATTTCCAGGTTGGAGGAGGAGGGAGGGCAGGGCAGGACTCAGCAGGGGTTCCTGGAGCCTGATGGATCTGCCTCCAGCAGCTGAGCCCAGGGATGGGCTGGAACAGCCTCACCTGCCAGGCACTAACGCTGGGCTGACCCCACCCAGCCCCAGCTGCCGGGAATGCACCAGTCTGAGCTTCTCTGCAAGTCTTTTATTTATTTTGCACTGTTTCCTGGGATATCATGATGAAATTGGGACTAAAAACACGATTACAGATTAATTTAACTCTAAGCAGTCCCTCAGATATACTGTAGATCATTATAATGAAGACATGAATCTCTCACTGCTCCAAAAAAAGCAACAAAGATTCCAACCCTGAACCGGAATTTCTTACCTTTGTGAATATTTTCATTACACTCCTGATATCAGAAATAAGCTTTGCAGATTCTGACTTTTAGAAAATTATTCCCTTGAAAGACTATTTATATTTTCCTGTTCTTTTCTAGCAAGTAATGAATTGGCTTTGCAGGAGGGTCTATGATTTTATGCAAGTTAAGCTTGTAAAATCATAATATTATTAATATCCCAAACAGGCACATTACAGCACATGTACTTATATAAACATATAAAATACTGTCTGCATATAAATGAACACATGTTGAGAGAGGTGATCTGTCTTCTTTGTTAATCATATTTATCAGATAAATATGTAATTGGATAATACAATTCTTTTCCAACATGTAGACATGGGTTGTGACAATTATTCACTCATATCTGTAAATGTTGAAGGAGGAATATTTCCATCTAATCTGGCAAATGTTTGACAGAGCCTGAAAAAAGGGTTATTTCTTTAAAATAGTTAAAAATAAAAACCTTTTAATTCTATCAAGTGTTAACAAACATCCACTCGGTCTGAATGTTTCAAATGGATAAAAATAAGGAGAAGGAGAACCAGCAGCCAAACACTTCTGCTCTCCTTCCCAGTTGCATTTGGAGGTGTGTGAGTTACCACAACTCTACTGAAATCAAGAAATCTTTGAGAACTGAGGGACTTGATGTTCTTTATTTGTGCTTAATCAGTAATCTCTAAATATCATCCTAAATGAGGCAGCACGTGAGGGGGAGCAGAGAGCAGCAGGAATTCTCAGGTTGGGCACAGAGCACAGCTCCACCCTGCTCCTGCTCCTGCATCTGCTGAGGGGTCTCAGACACCCTCTGGGCATCCTGTTGGTTTTTGAGCTGACTGATGGCCCAGCTGAGAGCAGCCCTGCTCCCCCCTCTGTCCTCAGGAGCCTCCAAGTTCAAACCCAAAGTAGGACTCCTCAGTTCAGGAATGTTTGAGGAAGACCCTCCCCTGTGTCAGCAGGCCCACGCTGTGACCAGCAGGGTCTATCCAACCTGATAATAATATTTTAAACTAATCATCTATTCAGGGTTCCAAGCAATCCAAAATATACAAAATACTGCTTCTTTTCAGTATTATTAACCGTTTTATATTTCTGTGTGTGCTTTCTTTGTGTCAACCTGGTATCACTTGAATTTAAAATTGATTCAGCATCATTTCTGAGGGCTGGCAGGGTGTGAGGGCTCCTCTGAGGCTGCACCTGCCTGACTTCATCTGCAGGTTGGTGATGCTCCTCAGGCAGAGCCAGCAGCTCCCCTGTGCTCTGATGACTGGACACTTGGATGTTGTCACCGTGGCCTCCGAAGGGGTCTGGAAAAGCATTTATCTCAGAACATGTCTATTTTAAACAATGAAGTTGTAACGTAGGGAACTACATCTAAAATAGTAGGTTTGCCTAATAAGAGGCATTTTTCTCTTGTAAAACCCTCCATTAAAGCCACTTTGCTTTGTTAACTTTCATGGCATGTACCCTCACTATAGCCTTCAACACCTGAAAAATTAGTGGAAGAATTTGACTGATTATAGAGGCTGTTTTCCTTGTTCCACTGCTTGTTCTAAAAGGGATACTCAGCAGAACTTGCCTTTTTTTTTTTTTCATTTTGTGCTGTCTGCATGAGTAATTACCTCCCTGATTTCTGAGATGCAATTGAGTAGCTTCCACATTAGAAAAATCCAAAGATTGATAGAGCCATCTCTCCTAAAGGATTAGTTTGCTGCTGTAATTCCACTGAGTAGGTCATTCAAATAGCAAAATGCTACGAAGTCTAATTCCTCTTGTTTGTAAAAGCCAGGTGTTGATACCTATTTAAGAGAAGCTGAAAAGGGCTGCTTTGCCTTCGGAGGGGAAAAAGGGTTTTCCAATTCCTGCTGCGGCTCCAGCAGGGCAGGGGGAGGAAGGAGACACTCGTGTTCCTGGAACAGATCAACCCAGGGGCTGGTGGTGCCAGAGAAAAGACCAAAAGCAAGATGACAAGTGTGCAGAGATGTTGAGAAAAGGGGCACAATTTTAGGAATCCAGGAGCAAGTTTCTCCCAGGACTTAAAGGAACTGTGGTTTTTCCTGGTGTCTTTGGGATTCCAAGGGAGCAGAGGCGAATCCCTCAAGTCTGAGTGCCCAGCACTCATGTGGAGGACAGAATTATCCCAGGGATGGGCAGAGGAGAGACTTTAAAATATTACACTGCTCCCTCCAGGACTGATGTTCAGGGGGAGTCACTTGCAGGGGAAAAGGGGCCACGTGTGTTCTGAGGTTCCTGCTCTCACCAGGGGATGTGTGTTCAGATCACTTCATGTGGATGAGAAAAGCATCAGCCAAGTTCTGTACTCCCCAAATTATCTTCTTTCATACCTAATATTTATACATCAGGCTCTTTAATTTATTGCAGATATTCTGGGAGAGGTTTTGATAGCGTCCAGCATCTCAGTGCCTTTCCATCAGAACCCATTTTCCAAATATTTGGATAATGATAGAAGTGCTTTTGACAGAGTGTGAAGGCAGGAATTCATCTCAACCTCACAGGTATGGCCATAAGGGGTGCAGGGGCAGCTGTGATTGTGATAAATAATTGTGCCAACACCATTTCACCAGGGGAGAATCACTGACTTTCTCTTTCACTCTACAGAACTAAGCATCGTAACTAAAAATAAACAACTTAACTAAAGATAAACAATTTACCTAAAATAAACCACTTTAACTAAAATAAGCATCTTAACTAAAACAAACCTCTTAACTAAACATAAACATATTAAAAACTAATCCTAAAATTCTAAATAACAATTTTAAATTAAAATGCTAAGAAGATGTTAAACTTGTAAATTAACAAAGATATATCTTATGACAACCTTAGGGGGGGGGGAAAAAACAATACGAAATATAAATAACAAATAAGTTTTTTTTTGCTTTTCAAGTAAATAAATGCTTTACTTCCACTGAACTCCTAGGGGGGCCAAGTAATTCTTGGGCTCGTACAAAGCCTATTTCTCTGCCATCATCCACATCCCTTTTGGTGTAAACTGAGCTCTCCTGACACCAAGAGAGGCTCAGCAATTTCTACCAGCTGAGGATCTGGCAGTTAATTTGAAAGGCAGGAATAAATCTTAGGTGTGCTCTGAAGTCAGTTTAACTGAAATGCAAAAGCTCCTTGCAAGTTGGGTGCACATTTAATTAATTGAAATCCAGGCTCCCCAGACAAGGCCCAGATGCTGCACTTCCTTCTCCCGGTGTCTCCCAGCCAGCTGCACTGATCTCTGCAGCAGCACTACCCTGTAGCTAAACATCTGGAGAAACCTGGGCAGCAGAATAATAAACACTTCACAGTCCTACCAGGCACAGCCCTGACAGTGACTTCAAGGGGGAAGGAAAGGGGGCTGGATGTGGGGTGGGGGGAAGCAAAATTCAACCCTCAGACAGCCCTCGAGGGAGGAATACATTGAACTGCCAGAGATGTTCCCAGCCAGGGCCTGCCCTGCCTCTGGACACACCACTGCCAGGGCAGTAAGGCAGGCTCTACATTTTCAGTTTTTACTGCTTTTCACTTGGGCACAGCCAGTTCAAATATTAATGAGAAGTTCTGTGAGCTCAGGTGGAGCAAAACCGTCACAACTGCACAGGCTGAACATCAACACGTTTAAATTCATTCCAGCCACGCCCCTGCTGGAAAATATTCCTGAAGGTAAGGACATTCCTCACCACAGTGTCGTCTTCTGGTTTGCTCCTCTCCTGTAAAGACAGTGCTGCAGTGACTTGGCACAGAATCTGAGAATCCCAGGATGGTTTGGGTTGGAAGGGACCTTAAAGGTCCCATGGGCAGGGACACCTTCCACCAGCCCAGGCTGCTCCAAGCCCCATCCAACCTGGCCTTGGACACTTCCAAGGCAGGCACAGCTTCTCTGGGCAACGTGTGCCAGGGCCTCCCCACCCTCCCAGCAGGAATTTCTCCCCACTATTCCATCTATCCCTGCCCTCTGGCAGTGGGAAGCCATTCCCCCTTGTCCATCCAGGCTTTTGGATCTCCTGCCTCGCCCCAGCTCACTGTCCCCACACCCACCACACACCACCCCTGGGTGCTCCTGTGCCACTATGGACACCCACCTTTCCATGGGGTGGAATTCAGATGTTTTGCAAAAAAAAAAAAAAAAATCAAGATCTCCTATAAAAATGTCCTCTGTGGGGCAGGGGAGGGGCTGCGAGAACAGTGTAAATAACCCAGTTTAATGCCTCTTTTTCTGGGTGCAAATGGCTCGTGACTGTGATTCGTTTTCCCATCAGTCCCCTCACCAGGTGAGTTGTAAGGACAGCAAGGGATAAATCCACTAAATTCCACCTGTGTGCCCAGTATCTGTACTCGGTGGACAGCAGGGAACTGTCACCAGAAGTGGAGCTCACGTTTCACAGGATCAGGGCTGGAGAGAAGAAGGCAGGAATGGGAGGAAGATTCTGGCAAGCTGCTTGTTTTCTAAACAGAAATCCTGCTGTTTACAGGCAGTTCTCTGTAAAACTTTTTTTTCCCCTCTGAAAGAAGGAAAAAAAAAAATCTTTTAAAAATGACTAACTGGGTAAAATTCTTTAAGGTGCCTCTATCAGCATACGTACTCCTGGGATGTGGTTAAAGTGGCAGGTGATGGGGGTCAGTGACTCCTGCTCTTTTTGGGGAATTGAGCCAACAGTCCCAAGCACTATTTCAGTGATGCCACCACGAAGTAACCCAGAAAAATCATTAGTTTCATTTTGGCAGTTCTACCCTGGCAAATTGTGGGATTTCCTACGACAGGGAGCTGTCAGAGGACACGCTGGAAGCTGGGGAGCAGGAACACAGGGTTTACTCAGGTAAGACAGTGAGAATTTTGCCTCATTCCCTGATGCAGGACTGGATCCCAAACGTCACAGCGTGCCCAGGTCTCAGCTCAGCACCCGTGGCATGTTAGGTGACCTGCTGGGGTCCTTCCCAGGCTAAATAAATTCATATTGTGTGTGTTCTACACGTCACTAAAAATATTTGGAATTTTCTGAGAGGATAATGAGGCAGGAGACAGCCCAGAGTAGATGGAATAACCTCCTCCCTTCTCTGCTAACACAGAACTCGCTGTCTCGGCTCCTGATCCCGTGACACCAACGCTCCTTGAGAGACTGGCAAGGGGTAGGGAGGCATCATTTAAAACCAGAAGGGAAAAAAGAGATGAAATCAGAAAACCTCTCTATCAATCTGCCAAGCTGTCAGAGACGCTTGTTCTGAAACAATTCCTCTCATTTCCAATAAATTATGTCAGAAGTGGATAAAAGGCATAGACAGCAAGTCTGGAGACAGCCGCCTCCTCTGCTGAGCCCTGCTCAAACAATTTGGGGAAATGTGACATCAGTCCCAGCTGACAGGCAGTCTGGGCACGGCTCCTTTGGGAAGCCTGATGCCAGTGAAGGGCTCCCAAGGAGGGAGAGCACCAGGAGGACAGGTCCCAGTCCCTTCCTCTCATCCCTGGAAAAGGCTGAGGGGAGGAGGACTCTTCACTTTACACTGGTGGTACCTGATGAAGAGGCAGAGCCTGTCAGAACAGGAAATAAACTCAAAATGTAAATTCAGCACCAATTATGTGCACCAATAAATAGATTACAGTACATCCATGGAGGCCGTTAAAATACAAAACAAAGGATTATTAGGAAATAAGAGAAATTACAGAAAAATCTATCAATCACCTAAGCTTAAAATTTTCAATAATAGCAACTTGATACACTCAATATTAACAGCACAAACCATGCTGAGGAGGTGTCAGCATCACCTCCAGTGATGGATCCTGTACATCCCCCATGCTGAACCCGTTCCACCTTACTGGCTGGGGGCTCCAGTATCTCCTGCAGCTGACCCTGCCTGAAATATAAATGTGCCATTCCCATCCTGTCCAAGGGAATCCGGAGAGCAGATCACTGTAAATTCTCATCTTCTTGCAAGTTCCATGCTTCTAAAATTCGGTAAATTAGTTTCCTAAATTCCAGTGTACATTAAGACCCACCTGAGCACAGGGGTGTGTTCCCCCCGCCCCAGCTCCTCGACTTCCCGATACTCCCATTACTTAACAGATGTTTTTGTGCCTTTCCAATTAGTTCCGTTGTTTATCTTAATGAAGGAAAAAACCTCTACCACTTGAGCACTGTTAAAATCAGCGCAACATTTGTCTGGCTTAATAATTGCTGCACGGAGGCTTTTTCTGTGTTTATGTGAGGAGCATTTAAAGTGTTTAGCCAGAGCTGTTCTCAGCCACACGTTGGGATGGAGTCCCTGTGGTGTCAGCTGGAGATAAAACCACCCCCAGCACACGGAGCAGGGGATAACCCACGGAGGCAAACAGCAAACCTGTTTGGCATTGTCTGGAACACATAAAAGAATATAATTGGCTGGGTATCTGTTTCTGGATCTGCTGCTCGTTCTCTGCAGCGTGGGTTAAGCAGCGGTTGTTTAAAGGTGACGGGAAAGCGTAATTGAAAATTGAGCTAATCAGGGATTCCTGGGTGGAATTGCCTCCCCAGCAGAGGCTGCCAAGGGTGGGAGGGGAGCGGGGACAAAGCAGAGGATTCCTCCACTGCTGCTTGCTCTGCTACAGTGTTCCCTTCTCTCAGAGTCGCCCGAAACACAACAGAGGAATATCAACACACAATGTAAATATCAGCCAAAATAGACCTTTGAGGTGGTGAAAATAAAATTTAAAACTGTCACAAATTTGTTTTGTGAAGATACATTTCTAAACACTGTCACTGTCCTTAGCTATTTTTTGTAGATGACAGGATATTAAAAGTTATTCCTAACTTTTTATAACTCAAATTCTCTTCATCCTAGCTTTTAAGTTACTTCACACTTCTTTGTTTCAGGGTGCAGCTTTGGGATGAGGACTGGAAAGAAAAGTGGCTGGACTCTGCAGGACACGCTCTGTTCACTCCATGCACAGCCCCACTGGGCACTCAACACATCCCTGGCACCACTGGGCCTCCCAAAATACAATCAGACCCCAGGGGTTCAGGTAAGGATTGGTGTTGCTCCATCCTTTGTAGCTGTCTCATCCTTATGGAGCGTGCAGGCAATTCCAAGCGTGCCCACGTTCTCCTTGACTTCACTGCTGTATCCTGCTTTTTCAACCATTCCCCAAAACACCTGGGCTGGGACAAGGAGCTCTGGGAACACCGAGCCCTGAGAGGTTTGTAGAGGAGGAGGAGGAGGGTTGTGTGACCGTGGAAGGGCCGTATGGAAAAGCTGGATCCGAGGTGAAATTCCAGCCAGGAGCATCAACAGAAATCACGGCCAGCTGGATCAGCTGATTGTCCGGAGCACCCGCAGCTGATGCTGACCCCAGGTCCCAGGCTGGCCCTGTGCCCCCTGCCCTGTGCCCCGGCAGGGATGGGAGCAGGAGCGGCGGGAGGCTGTTTACCAGGAACCATAGCAACTTCCAGGGCCATTAGCGGCAATCACAGCCGGCTCCACTCCCTGACTGAAGGCTGGGATGTGTGATATTTAGTCTGACCTATAAAAATATCTCTGGAGCAACCTGCGTGCAGAAGTGTCACATCAAATGTTTGTCATACAAGGGATGTGACACCGGGCACCTGCCGGAGCGTCGGCACCGCTGAGGGGGGACCTGCCCCTTTAAAAGCCCGCTAATATTCTGCTCAGATCCTACAAAAACCAGCTGGTGACAGTGGCCAGGCAAGTGTGACAGACAGAGCCCCCTCGCTTCCTTCCTCAGAGGGTCCTATATTCTCAGTTACCATTTTTAGTCATGTTATTAAAGGTGTGTGTTGTTACAGTGCCGACTCAGAGCGCTCCGTAAATGCCACCAAAGATGGCAAAATGCCACCCTACAGAAAACTGAGCACGGGGACAGAGCTCCGTGGGGGTGGAGGATGGATCCTGTTTGCAGGTGTGGATGGCTCCTAAAGCACAGTAACAGCCAGTGGTGCCTTGGGTGGCTGAGGCAGGTCTGGAGAGGTACCACCCCCCCCCTGCACAGCCCAGGGACAGGAGATGCTGTTCCTCCAGTGCTATGGACACAGGAAAACTGAGAGATGTTCTGGGACACTTATCCAACAGCTAAACCCTAAATATCTGAGCCACAGTTTAGCCAGAACACCTGAGACCACCCTGCTCATCCCTTCCTAGAGGTCACTCCTAACAACTAACCCTCCTCGGTGGGCAGAGTCACCCTCAGACTGGTCTTTTACTTCAGTTCACTGGTACTCTCCCCACACCACACTGGCCTTTGTAAGCAGGTTGATGGAATCCCTGTCTGTGTTTGGAGCCAGTTTGACACTCCAAGAACACTTTTGGAGACACTGCAGGACTCAGCAAACAGCCACACTCACAGCCAGAGCTCCCAGGCGTGGGGTTTTCCCTGGCCATGCCCAGCGTTCCCAGGAGCTTCCACACCTGCTGTTGCTCCTCCTGCAAAACCACAGCCAGGAGCTCACTGGACAGGCTGGCTGTGGTTTCTGTGTGTCTGCACAGTTCTGCAACACAGGTGACAAGAGTTCCAATAACCAGGGGACGCTGAACACATGTGTTGGTTTGTAATTATTATATGACTACAAATAATATCACTTTAGCTGAAAATTCCCCCTGTCCTTTACACACCCTCTGCCATTTCCCAGAAACAGCTCCAGGGCACAGTAAACTGCTCCCTCCCAAATGGAAAATGCACTTGTGCTTCCTTCTTTGTAAGACAGAGCAACAAATTCAAGTTCCTTATTTAATGAATATTCATGAAATATCCTGAGCTACAGAGGCTCCTGCACGACCCAAACCCAGTGTTTGCAGTCCTGCCTCCCCCTGTGATGCTCTGTTTGCCTGCTCTCCTCAGCTTTTGAAAGTCACTTCCTAAAAGGAATATTGCATCTGTCGTGTGAGCAGCCACTCCAACCCCTTGCCTTGCCTTTATGTTTGGGATTATTTTTAATTCTTGTCGTGGCTTGTAAGTAATTGCAGGGATGGTGCTTGAGGATGTTCTGTCTGTTACTAGGAGATGGGGCCTCAAAGTACATGGAATCTAAAATACCACTCTATGATAAATAAAAATATCGTTTTATGATTCCATATGGAATCTTATCAATAGAAAATTTGAACAAATTATTTGTAAAAAAAAATAAAAATTAAAAAGAAGAAGTTTTGAAGGCTAAAGAAAACCAATCTAAGATTTCATCTGAATTTCAGACATTTCACTCAGCTCTCATGAAACATCCTGCCTCTATCAGGCATTTCACCTCTGTAGCATTTGACCTTTCTTTGTAGTATGTAGATTTTAAAATTAATTCATATTCATACTTCACGCGGTTTTGTGGTGGGTTGTTGTTTTTTTTTTCCTCAAAAGTAGGATATTTATTGTCACAACAATGTTACAGGGCATTAATTAATGTGATACTTTTAGAATTGGTGCTTGGGGACTTGAACAGAAAGTACCAGCAGTGTGTGAAATCCTGCCTTGGGCACTCTTGCTACTGGAACAAGTTGGAGAATGTATATTCATTAACTTGGAGCTTCCTTAGGAATTACCAAGAGCCACAGAAAGAATGAACTGAAGCTATTACTCCCAGAAATATGGCTTTGAGCAAGAATTTACTTGATTTTCGCCCACATTTTTGAATGCCAAGCAATACATGAATATGATGTTCTTGCATAAAAATAGTTGTATCAGGAGAAATTACAATAGTTTCCGGGAGTCGCTGTGGCCCATTAAAAAAAATGGATTAAACAGGTTAAATTATCTCCTCTAGACAAAAAAAAAAATTGGATTCCTGATGTAGAACTGGAGAAGAGGGAAGACATAACATGTGTTATGTTTGTCAGAAATCCATAACTGTTCAGACAACTTGCACCTTTTAGAACTGTATTATTCACTAACCCTAAATCCACTGTCACGAGGTCTTAAATAGCTCTTTTCAGGGATAGCAGCAGCCAAAGAAGATTTAATTCTTAAAGTTCGTAAATTATTTTGAGAACAGAACCTAAATCTAAAAATATTTAAAACATACAACGACTTCAGACGATCAGTTTGGTATTAATGCACCACTTCCACCCAAATTCAGTTTGATATGATCAAAATGTCATCAGCTCCAGTGACAGCAACAAAGATCAGTTCACTTACTTGTATGCTAAATATACTCCATGTGTTGATAATATCAGGAATGCTTTTAATTTCCTCCCATTTCATGGTTTTTCACACCTAAACACAGCAATGATTATTTTAAATTACTAGGGATGTGTGTACCTGGGCTGGTGGGGCAGCCAGGTCAGGCTAAATAACCCAGGTATTACCAAACTTCTGTTCCACAGGGATTCAGGAACTAAAATGGCAAATTGTAGGGTGATGTCAGCCTGGAGACACCACCATGCTGTTATTTAATATCTATTTTTTTAAAGGGCTGGAGCTTTTCTCTGTAAAAAAGTAATGAACTTCGCAAAATGTCACTTTTACTAACAGAAATTATGGCTTGAATACCTGAATGTGAATATTAAATACATTTTTAAAAAGGGGAAAAATATAAAGAAAAGTTCGTTTAAAAAGTGCTGAGGTTGTGACACAAACTGACAAATGTGGGGAAATGCAGAGTCACAGCTGACACTGCCCTTAATTCACACAACTTTGGGGAAAGTCAGGAGGGCAAAGGTGTAACCCCAGTCCTGGAATCAAGTTTGAAGACTTTGATTTCTTTAATTTTGGATCCATGTTTTAATACATTTTAGAGATTATTTTAATCCCCTTCTTTAATAGAAGAAAGTGACCCACAAGAGAGCTGGAGGGAGGCTTTGGATGAGGGCCTGGGGGGACAGGACACAGGGAATGGCTTCCCACTGCCAGAGGGCAGGGAGAGATGGGATATTGGGAAGGAATTCCTGGCTGGGAGGGTGGGGAGGCCCTGGCTCAGGTTTCCCAGAGAAGTTGTGGCTGCCCCTGGATCCCTGGAAGTGTCCAAGGCCACGTTGGACGGGGCTTGGAGCAACCTGGGCTGGTGGAAGATGTCCCTGCCCATGGCAGGGGGTGGGACTGGATGGGCTTTAAGGTCCCTTCCCACCCAAACTATTCCAGGATCCCATGATTTTCTGCAGGAACAGCCTCAGGACCTGTGTCCATGCAGCAGGAAATGCCCCAACCCCCTGGGGCACAGTGTCACCCTGGGGCACAGTCACAGTGTCACCCTGGGGCACAGTGTCACCTCTGCCTTGCCCTCCCCCAGCAGCCCAGCCAGGTCCCTGCAGCTGGAGAGACCAACCTTGGCTTTGTGAGAGGCACAACTGAGGGTCCCCAGGGGTCAGAAACTGCTCTTCTGGTCTTTCCTGCCAGTGGTGAGTCTTTAAAAAGTTTTGGGGTTGTTTTTCATCCTGGTGGGAGAGGGAGGGGCTGAGGAAAAGGGGATTTTAATCACTGAGAAACAGACACCTCGAATTCTGCAAACACGGGGCTGGAGCACAGCCCAGACGAGGGTATTTGTGCTCTCTGGCCACGGCACACAGGACAAGTGGACAGACAAGGGCAGCCCCAGCTCTGTGTGAATGATCTCTCCCAATAAATCCAACCCTTGGAGCAGCTCCCCTTACACCCACCAGTGACAAGGGCAATCAAAACCCCAGCCCAGCTGAACCTGGAGAGCCCCAGGCCTGTTTGCAAACCTCAAGACAGAGGTGATTAAACCAAGCTGTGCAAATTCAGTCCTTTGCTTTTCCCAGGAAAAAAAAAGAGAAAATCTTATTCCCAACTCACTGAAACTGCACACACCCAGAATTAATATTTATGGAGAGCTGACCTGCACCATTGCTGCTGCACAGCCCAGGGCTCCAGGAGCTTCAGGACTCTACCTTATGTGGACACAACTGGAAAATGGGGTACACCTGATGCATCCAAAATTCTTTCCAAAGTCATCAGTCCAAAAAATACAAATTTTCTGTGCCCGATTTCAAATACTGTCAGTGTAATCATGATACCCAAAAATATTTGAGCATCATAGGAATGGAAGGTTGGAAGGGGCCTCAGAACGTCACCTGGTGCCACTCCAGATCTTTGTGCCTCAATTCACAGAGTAGCAGAACTACAACCTGTAAAACTCGTGTGCCTGTGCTGCCTGTTGATGCACAGCTGCAGTCACACTCTGAGAACAGCAGCAGGAGTGACAGAAGCTCTAGAACTCTGAAATTACTGATAGCTAGAAAATTCCTTTTTCAACTTCTAAAGTTTTTTGACAAAAAGCTCCCGAGACCTTGACATGTTGAAATAGAAACGTCTTTGAAAGCAGGACAGAATTAGATTAAAACCAGCCAGTGAACCTGGCCTGCATTTGTGTTCTCTGTGCCAAAGTTGAAGACATTTCTAACCCAAGAGGAGACAAACTGGTCACCCCCAGGTCTCCTGCAGAACAAACTGCTCCCCAAGCTCCATCACAGTCCCCTGGTCACACTGCTCTGCCAGCCACGGGCTCTCCACCCTGCTTTTCCCAGCTCTGGGTCACACAGAACCGTCAGAGTGCCCACAAGAACAGAAAGCCGGGAGCATTTATCACGAAATCACATTAAAATCCCATCAAGTCTCCCTGAAGTCCCCTTACCTGCCCAGCCCACCCTCAGAGCCCTCACCTGGCGCTGTGGCCCAGCACGAGGAGGTGGCTGGCAGTGCCACCAGGGCAGGAGCTGGGGGAGAACCTGATGGTCAGCCCACCAGGAGAGCCTGTTTGCAGTAAAACCCAGCCAGGTGTTCATCAGAGAGGGAACAGACCCACCTGGTGTGGCAGCTGCTGGTGCAGTGACAAATCAATGCCCGGGGTGATTGCCTGGCAGGTCAGCTCCTAATGCAACCATCAATCACATCCCCTCCCAGTCTTTCAAAATTAAGCAGAAAGAAAAAGAGATTTTAGTTTTCTTTTCTTAGCTTATTTTTAACAGAGGCACTACAGAATTATGATGGTGTCCTTTTGGTAAACCAAAATGTCAGACACATATTATTCTTTTAAACATCTCCTGGCCTTTCTCTGAAAGGTTAAGGTGGTTTAAATAAATTTAGTCAAAGTAAATGACAGCTGAGGAAGAGTATTAGAAAACTATACTTATCAACAACCTCTTTTCCTTAAATTTAAACAAGTCATTTACCAAACTGCAGTTTAAGGAGATCATGACAATATATGGTCTTCTGCAGAAGGATGAAAACAACTTGAAATGGTGAAGAAATGTTGGGTGGGGGAAATTACACGCAAGTTAATGAATGTTAATGCATGGTCTGAACCCCCCTGAAAGTTGCAAACCACGGTTTTTAAAATAATGGTGCAGCAGTCTGGGCTTTCACCTGAGCCCTTAAATGGGAGTTGTCCTTTTCCTGCTTTTCCATCACCTTAATGACAGAAACTTAAATGGAATGGGCAGGAAAAGTGTGAATCCAGACCTGCCCTGCAACAGTCAGACAAACAGCCTGAGTGCTGCACAGTTGTTGTTGGTCAGGGGAGTGCTGCAGAAAGCAGTGGGGTTTACATGTATGTATATGTCTACATATTTATGTATTGTGAGATGTAACTTTAACAGCAATTCCAGCACCCACGAATGCTGCAGACCGATAGAGGATCATAAAATCCCAAAATCACAGGGTTGGAAGAGACCTGAAAGATCCTCTTGTTCCAGCCTCCTGCCATGGACAGGGACACACGTGCAAAATAGGCCAAGGGGGGAAAAAAAGCCCAAATCTGGCAGCAAATCAATGGCTCTGTGAGGTAACTTAGCAAGAGATCAGTTATGAATTAACATGGACAGTTTTGATTTTGAACTTATCACCCAAAAAAAAAATAATCAAAATATGGTGTTTGAGGCTTTCAGAAAGGGAATCACAAGATCCCAGAATGGTTTGGGTTGGAAGGGCCCTTGAAGTTCATCTTGTCCCACGCCGTGCCTGGGGCAGGGACACCTTCCCCTGGACCAGGTTGCTCCAGCCTGGCCTTGAACCCTTCCAGGGACGTAAATATGACACTGAGATTACTTTTTATCCATCAGTAATGCACTTTTTCCCATTCCCATTGCTATTTAAGCAGTGGCAGTGAGTGGGTGCAGCTGCAGGGCTGCAATCCAGAGGCAGCAGCTGTACCACAGTTCACATTCTGTACCACAGCTCACTAATAAGTGTCTGCCACACCTTGGCCACCTCCTCCTTCCCACCAGGAGCCAGCACAGTTCCCTCCAGGTCTCCCTTCAGCACGTTCCCTCTGTCCTGTTCTGTGCCATTTACTCCACAGATTGACTCAGACAGGACCAAGAGAAAAAAACCTCTGTGTGCAGAGAAAAATACGTATTTTAGTACTTACTGTGTAACAAAGCAAAGACCTAATGTACAAACACTTGTACTGGTTTAATTACCACACAATCACAACCCCTTGGTTAAGCATTTCCCTTCAATCCTGTCAGAAAAGCAACCTTATCCAACTTTTTGCAGTTACACCCGAGCACAGCTTGGCTGAAATCGTCGTTTTCAGGACTCGGTTGCAGAAATTTTATTTTTACTCGTCCGTAAGAGAGCCGGAATTACCCATTCACTGGCCCAGCACGGGGGGCTCACAAATTTCTCCCAAGTTTCCATAGAAATGCATTGATTAGGGCATAATTCCCGTTAATACTGTCTCCCTCCAGCACGCTCTGCTTGCTCACACTAACCAGGCACCTTCCCCTCGCCGTCCTCGGCAGCTTTTGTTCGGCTCAGTAGGTTTCCTAACTGGTGGATTTTATTGAGTTAAATCAAGCTGTCACTTCATCTGCCTGAAGGATGACTCAAATACAACACATAATAATAAAAGAAAAGTAGGATAAAATAATCTTGTCAAGCCAGAAAAACTGATTGCTTGAAGTTGTAGCCTTCAATCAATACACTAATTCCACAATTTATACCTCTTTCAATTGGAGAGGAAAGAAACCCTGATATGGTATTTCTTGGCTCACTGACCAACTTTGACCTTCTATCTGTGTGAATGTGGGATTAGCAAGTGCTGCTGCTTAGTGAAATCACCTATGAAAACAGGGAGGCAAATAAGTGACATTTGAGGTTCCCACTAAGTTTATTAATTTCCAGAGGTGAGGGGTGTTTATTGCTCAGGGGGTCTGGGCTGGGAGCGAGGCCCTGCAGGGGCTGGGGGTTGTGAGCCAAGGAGGGGAAGCAAAGCTTTGGGATTGTGGCACTGGAGCCACTGGCGTGGGGTCCCCCCAGAGCCACCCACGCTGCTCCAGCCACTGTCACCAGTCCAGGGAAAACCTCAGGAAAACAAAGCTATGGCCGTTTGTGCATCATCTCACTCTGCCTGGGATTAAAAGCTTGAGCTCTGCCCAAGCTCTGCTGCTCACACTTCCCTGGCTGCAGTCAAGTGGATGAAGACACTTTATCCAGGCAGCTTTAGAAACCAATTTCTCAAGGTATAATGAACCGTTTTGCCATTTGCTCATTTTTTTTAACAGTCCATCATCACAAACCCCTCTTTTATTTGTAAATTAATCTGCATAGTTTATAAAAGAACAGTCAAACTGTGCATTTAAAAGTTTGGGATGCCCTTTGGGTGTCAGGTTCCTGCTTTGCTTTCAGAATTCCTCCCCCACAGGCACAGGCCAGGACAAAAGAATTCTTTGTTTATCCAGGCTTTAATTCACCCTGCCACTGCTTCACTCAGGTTGTGGCAGGGTATCAAACAGGGCCTGGAATGGGAGTGTCTTCCTGCCCTGTGCCTGGAAAAGGAAAGACAAGCCTGTGTAGACTGTTAGATCAGCTGTGATGGTGGAGGTGCCAGTCCTCACTGCTTGAAATAATAAATGTAATTAAGACACTGTACCAGGGTACAGCTTCCCTCTGCCTGGGAAATGCTGGTGTTTAATAAATGGCCACTTCTCCTGCCTTCCAGGGATACTCCTAATGCTTCTTTTCAGTGATTTCAGCAATACTTGCCAACCTGAGAAATAAAAGCTGAGGGCAGAGCTGAGCCTAACCTGGGGTGAGGTGATGCCTTTGGAAACAGCCTGGAACAGCCTGGATCTCAAACACTTCAGGGCAACAAATGCCAAAGCTCCCACATTCCAGGAGGTGCTTCCTACCTTTTTTGTCCTTTGTTCCACTACTGAGGTCACAAACAGTTGATCCAAAACAGATTCAAGGCAGGAGGTTTTTTTAATGAGGGTGGGGAGGCCCTGTCCCAGGTTGCCCAGAGAAGCTGTGGCTGCCCCTGGATCCCTGGAAGTGTCCAAGGCCAGGTTGGACGGGGCTTGGAGCAACCTGGAATAGTGGAAGGTGTCCCTGCCCATGGCAGGGGTGGGATTGGAGCTTCAAGGTCCCTCCCAACCCAAACCATTCCATGATTCTGTGACTCCAAGTATCACTAAAGAGCTGGAAATGAATCCACTGGGTAAAACCAACCAGCACTGAGCAATGAACACGTGACTCCAATCCTTGCAATATTACTGAAATCCTTGGATTTCTGCAGCCTCTGGCCACGTGTGCAAGGAGCACAATTAAGCTTTCAAGCTCCTTTTAGCAAGACACAACTTTGATTAACCTTTCCTTTACTCAGAGTTTGCTTTGCTTAGAGTGTAACACGCTCCTGGAGACGTTTCCTTCTTTTTTTTTCAGGGGAGTGGATGGTATTTCCCCAGGCACCAGCCCGAGCAACACGAAGCACCTCCATGGAATATTAAGCAACTGCCAGAACTTACTCTGGGTCTAACTGCACTTCCTTCCAGCCTCACCCCCATCCCAGGCAGCCCTTGGTGTCAGTCCCCTCCATTGCTCCATGTTAACACCAGGGCTGTTCCTCTGCCTTCTCCCCACCCCTGGCAAATTACAGCTTCTCTTTTTAATAGGGGACCAGAGTTAATGATGCAGCGTTAATGAAAAGAAATCAAGCACACACGTGTCAGGTGGTCATCTCACCCTCTGACTCAGAAATGCTAAATTATTCAGACCTGCCTCCGCTCTAGCATTGGGTATTTGTGTGCAGCTTTCGCAGTAAAAAGAGAAAACACCAAAGGAAAATAAAGAAAAACACAGAGGAAAATTTTACTGGGTACCAAAACACTGTCTTATTGATTATAGGCAATAAATAGAAAATAAATGCAAAAAAATGCTCCGGGTGAGATCTTGGTCTCCCTGCACACTTTTCACGCCACTGATTTGGATTCATTTTGTCCTAGGTTTAAACACTTGCAAGAAATAAGGGTCTACACCAAAACACTCCCTGCCTTACCCTCTCCTTCCTTTTTGAGGGAAGGGGAATAAAAGGAGACATTTGCAGAAGAGGAGGCACAGCCCCTGAGCCCACTGATCACATTGTCCTCGGATTTCTGCTGCTATGAGGGATGAAGGTGCATCTCATGCTGATCCTTTGAAGCTCATGGAGATGAAGGTTAAGAGGCATTTGAAGTTGTTAGTTTGTTTGTGGCCAGGGAAGGAGCTGCCTGGTGCCCTCAATTCTCCGGGCTGAGGGATGTCACCAGGACTAACCTATTGACATTCAGCCCAACAGCAAGAACAAAGATTACAGCCAGGGTCAGCCTGTGCCAGCCCAATTTCACTCCAAGTTTTATTGCTGACACCATTGTTCATCTGATTGTTCCCAAACACTTTCTCAGCACAGAAATGCTGATATTTCCCCTTATTTTCAGCCATCGATTACATCGCTGTCAGCTGAGCAAATACTGGCCTGGAAATTGCCAGGTACTTGAGAAAGTGGGGAAAAATCTATCGGAAATGAGCAAAAATTGCTCGTGGAATAAGCAAATAAGGGAGATGGGCTCTGAGGCTGAATAAATAACCCGTGCAGTGTGTGCACAACACAGAGGGACCAGCCCAGCCCCAGCTCCACGGGCTGCCCAGGGCATGAGTCAGGCTGGGAAGGAGAAACAGGCAGCTGAATATTCCAGGATACCCAGGAATTGTTTCGTCTGCATTTTCAGATTCTGCTGAGGAAAAATTAAAAGCAATTATTGTTAGATTAATATATATTAATGGATTAAAACATGGGAGTAACACTATTTGGAAAGACCCTCTGAGTCCTGGCTGTCACACAGCGCTGTCCTGACCACCTCTGAAACACTGCAAGTGTCAGTGGTTTAGCTCCTAATCAACTCCTACCTCATTCATACAGCTCATAAACACAGTTTTGCAGCCTTCAGGAAACAAGAAGACATTGAGCAACAGCAACCACAAAAAAACCAACAAAACAGGACTGAGGTGATGAGTGAACCACAAATGCCTGAAACAAGCACTCAAATAATACTATTCCTGAACCCACAGTCCAATAATTTCACAATTAAGCCTCAAATACCGACCAAAGCCTGCTAACAAGACCTCTGCCTTCTGTGTTTGTATTTCAGTGGTGACAGTGGCAGGGCTGAGCTCTCCTGTGCTGGACACTGTGCAAACTGTACAAAAAGAGTATCCACCCCCCAAAAGCCATGAGCCCCATCCCAGGGATGGAGCTCAGGAAGGGAGGGGCTGGAGCAGCCAGGCCAGGGGGGTGAGCAGTGCAGCACTGGTGGTCTCAGCACGGGGGCTGCCTCCCCTCTGCCAAGTGTTCTGTAGGAACCCTGGCAGAGAGGACCCTGAAGGAGGGATTTGAGGGCAGAGAGTGAAGTCACTCTATGGATTTTGCAGGAGTGTAAGGGCACCCCAGGGAGGAGCAGGATGGTGCCCAGGGGCTGCTGGTGAGGGAGCTGTGCAGCCCAGCACTGCCCATGGGATGGGACACGGCCCCTCCTCTCCATGGGAACCACCAGGACACACCTGAACAGGCCACCAACGTCCCCAAAACCCAGGCCAAGGATCCTCTCAGTGGTGTCAAACTCTCCTGCTTTGGACCCCACATTCTTGGCCAACCTCAGTGACCCAACCCAGTCCCAAGGTCCACTGGGGCCGGTTTGCCCATGGATTTATCCAAGGGATGGGTGGGAACCAGGGCTCTGTGCCAACACAGGGGCCTTGGCGGTGACACAGTGACTTGCAAGCCCCACGTCACCTCCCAGGCTTGCTCACCTGAGCTCCAGCTGATTGTTTCACTCCATCAGTTAATGTTGTTTTCTCTTTTGGTGCTGGCACTTGGAATTTAAAGAGAGGCAGAGTGACAGGGACTACATACAGCAGGGCAAATATTTGTCGTATAAGATAAACATACAATTATCTAAAATGTAATCTTAATATGACTTATTAAAACAGATTACATTTTAATGTGCACTGCAATTTGCACATTACACAGCACACTCTGGATATGCAGCTTCCCCTGTGCCACTCCCCTGACAACCTGCACCACTGGAGATATAGAGAGAGGAAAAACCCGCCGCTATCTCCCTCTAAATGGCTCTATTTGGTGGTGATAGTCAGATACAGTTTTCACCTTTATCCCAGCTTGTTTCTGACCCACTGAGTTGGTGTTAATCACCCCTGTGGGCACCAATAATTTCCCCATATGTGGAATTTGATAAGTTAGAGCACCCACTTCATTTCAAGAAGATTCCAGCTGGCTATCCAGTTATCGCTATGGACAGCTTCAAGCACTTCCATGCTGGTCCTTGTATTCTGAGCTTTATCAAGTGCTTTGCACTTTTTGTCTTTTATCTCTTAATTGAGACCTGACTGCAAGAAATGCCTATCTCTTAAAGTGTGGTGCATTAAGTATTAACTTGAACTGCTTTGGCTACTTGAGGCGCAGAAAAACCTTAAGAAGCCGGGAAAAAGGTGAAAAAAATCTCCCCAAATCTCTGTTTAGAAAAACTGTGTAAATGCTACAGTGTAATAAAAAAATATATATATCTTTTTCTTCCTCCTCTGCCTCTTCCCACAAGCAAAAAGAAAAATGAAAAAGGAAAGTGTGTATTACGAGCAGAAATAAACTCCATCTATGCGTTTGCTTAGCTGGAAATGCGTTAAAATGCAAAGGTCCTGGAAAAGGAAAGTGTTATGAAATGAATGCGTATGAATAAGAAATTATTTCACAATTAAAGGTGGTAAAGAATTCTCCTCTCACCGGTTGATGTGTTTAGTCCATTCAGCTGGCAGCAGCAGCAGCTGAATCTCCTCGTGGAGGAGCCGGCGGGCACGTGGCTGCCACAGACACCCTTGGGGGAGAAATGTCTCTGGGTTTTGAACCACCCCTTCCCTGAAGGACTCTGAGTGAAGAGCGTGGAGCCTCCTGGTGCTAAGACACAGTGTGGGAGGTCTGGGTTCCCTCTTGCTGCTCTACCACGCACTGACTCCCTCCCTGCAGACGCTCTTTGCGTTCAGCAGGAGCCCCAGGAGCAGAGCTTTCCACTCCCTGGTTGTGTCCATCCAGAATAAAAACCTGATTTGGGCTTGTGTTTTTCATTACTTTCCCAGGAAACAACATCCCTGAAAGCTGGTCTCAGACTGTCTGAAGAACCTCCTGCAAGTCCCTGGCAGATGGAGGTTGTTCTTCTCCCTGCTAACAAGAGATAGGACAAAGGGAAACAGCCTCAAGTTGTGCCAAGAGAGGTCCAACTTGGGTATTAGGGAAAAGTTCATCCCTGAAAGAGTGGTTAAGCATTGGCCCAGGCTGCCCAGGGCAGTAGTGGAGTCACCATCCCTGGGAGTGTTTGAGAAGTGAGTGGACGTGGTGCTTTGCAATGTGCTTTGGTGGCTGGGGGGGAATTCGGTCCAAGGCTGGACTTGGTGGCTTTGGAGGTCTCTCCCAGCCTTAATAGTCCTGTGATTCAATAAGCTGGACACCTAAACTCAGAATATGTTTGAAACAATTGACACAAATCTCCGTGTGCACCAATTTTATCCTCTGTAAAGTGGGGTAAAAACAGTTCAATGTCCACTTAAAAGCTTTGGACCAACGCTGCTCCCAAACCGTGCTGCCCTGGCAAAAAAACTGGCATCCACCTTATTCTTCATGAATCATCACTTTCTTTTTTAAAACAATACAGAACAGGGCATTAACTGCTTTTTCTAGCTCAAACCCAGGAAGACCAGGCAATGTTCTTTTGGCAATTTGTTTGCATGGTGTATAAGCAGCAGAAAAGCAGGACTAGCCCTTCCCAGGAGCCCACTGACTCAGAAGGAGCTCTGCCTGCACCACTA